AAAGAGAAAAAGAAGAAAAGAAGAAGACAGCGGGGTGAAAGGAGGCGAGGAAGGTGAAGAAGAAGAAGAAGAGGATTGGCGAGGAAGAAGAGCCAACAGCCATAGCTGACCGGAGGGTTGACCAAGAGGGTTGACCAGAGGCGTTGACCGGAGTTGACCGAAGTTGACCGAGGGTCATAGCAGCGTTGACCGGCGTTGACCAAGGCCGTTGACCAAGGCGTTGACCAAGGCATTGACCAAGACTTTGACCAAGCTGGAGTTGGTAACATCTCGCCAAGCCCTTAGCCTGCCCCTTGCCCTATGGATGTGCACATACCCCTTGGTACTTGCTGAGTACAGTTTGTCTGTCTATTCTTTCTGCATTGAGTCTCTTCTGTCGTAGGTCATAGAACTTTGTGGATGAAGGACAGGGCCTTGCTGCCAAACCTGCACGGGACTTAGTAGGACTAATCTCTACTCCGGTATCTTGGGACCTGGGCATGAGCGGCGAGCGCTCGTTAAACAACTCGTYTAGCCCAATGACCGGTACTGTCCGGTAGGTCTGCTCAGTTTCAATGTAGAGGGTTTGAACTCTGAGCTGCAGGCTGAAACGGAGGCCGTCTTTAAGTGTTGAGGGCCTGTTGGAACCACTCCCCTACCAGACCAAGTAAGGCTGTGTTTGACGACTCGACTGTCCCGGGGGATACGAACCCTCCCAAGGACCGGTACAGACCGGCGGGCTGCTCGGTGTGGCACAGTAGGCTGGAAAGGCTGAGTTGTGGGCTGAAAGCACAGGCAGAACCAAGCTGATCACGTHGTCCTGTCTGCGACGTTAAAAAATTCTTGAGGAGTTGGGGGATCTCCTTAAATGCCTCCTGATCAGCCACTGGTTCAGTAGTGACAGCCATAGTGTAGGTCTAGGCTAGAGACCATAGTTGACAGGATCCCTGTCAGGATTCTGTGAGTCTTAGATTGAGTCAGTAGRTYTGTCAGTCAGGGGTTGACGTCTACGTGGTGAGGTTTGGAACCACTAACCCGGTTGTACACTTRTCACCATGGTTGAGACCCGTAGTGGGAAGGAGACTAGCCCCTACACCACTGAGCAGCAAGAAAAGATGGTCGCCTTAGTTAGAGAGAATAAGGAGAGGAAAGAGCGTGAAAAGCAAGCCAAGCTAAAGGCTATCGCAGACGARCAGGCGGCGAAGATGAAGAGATTGGAGGAGGAGATGAAGAGGGTACAACAGGAGGAGGAAGAAAGAAGGAAGGCTGCTGAAGAAGAAGCGGCAGCAGAAGAAGAGAAAGAGAGAATGAGAATTGAGAGTGGAGAAGGGAGCAGTGGTGGCACGATGAAGTGGGAGACAGATACTGAGGTGGAGAAGAAGATCAGCGAGTGGGTCGCTAATTTATCGTTGGGGGAAGACGAGGAGGCGGAGTCCTATGTGACTAAGGATGAGAAGGTTGCGCTGGCCGTTGAGCTAGCAGCCATGACAGACCCAATGGAACGAAGAGAGAGGGAAGACGAGCAAAAGTTAGCATGGAAGTTGAGAATGAAGAGGGAGAAGAAGAGGAGGAGAGAGGAAGTGAATAAGATGACCGCCGCAGTGGCGAAGGTGCAGGAGTGTAGAGCGGAGGTGCTGGCCCAGCCAGATGATAAGGCCAAGTGGGACAAGGTACTGGGCTATGTAGAGGTGTTGAGCAAGGCCTGGATGGAGGAGCGCCAGGCAAGCTGGAGCCAAGATGTAGCGTTGAGTGCCATGCGGTCCGGGTTTAGGGATTTTGCGCGCGAAATCGTCACCCACATTGGGGGCGAAGTCAAACAGTTGAGAGACAATGTAGGGAAGTTTTGTGAGGGCGCCATTCAGGGTGCCAAAGCTGCAGCCGCTGTAGAAGGAGAGGGCAGACCCCGTAAGGACCCAGTGAAACTTAAGTTCCCAGACGCGTACGGGGGAAAGAAGGACGAGAACCTTGACAACTGGGAGGCCAGTGTCAATAGTTACATTTACTTACAGCATATCCTGATAGAGGAGCAAGTCCTCGTGGCCTTCCAGGCCCTGAAGGACGAAGCGGCTAGCTTCGCCAGGTCTCTCGCGCGTACAGCCGGTTGTGAAAACAACCTGGTTGCATATTCCAAAGTCACTCGTCTTTCCCAATTCCTCAAGCTCCTCAAGGAGCGGTTCGTTGACCCAACGCGAGGCATTAGAGCCTCTGATAAGCTCCAAACGATCCACTCCCGGCAGTGGAGGAGTGCTAAGGCACTCAAGGGTACTATGGACGACTTGGTAGCCGTCCCGGACCACGGGGTCACTGAGCCCCAGCTGGTCCAGTTGTTTTATCGTGCCATTCCAGAGGCCCTAC